GCACCCCACACCCCTCAATCCTCCAAATCAAACGGCCAAGTATCTCTAATCTCCGCCTCCGTCAACCTCTCCCCATCCTCACTAACCCAAACCCTCTCCCCCCGTTCCCCCACCGCCCCCACCATCGCCTCCTCAAACCACTCCTTCTGCGCCTGATTCGTCACCTCATACATATCCGCCCACACCCACCCCCCCCTCTGCACACCCAACCGTTTCTGCACTTCCAACCTAAACGTAAGCCTTGCCTCGAACTCTTTATATTTTTCCCAATGCGCGGCATATTCTTCTCGGCTAGGCATGGGATACGCACATGGTCCTACCGTCGAGAAACCAAGTTCTCCCCATCGCCGCGACGTCTGGATGAGTTCCTCGCGGAAGGGGGTGGCACCGTGGAGCCAGGATCTGTGGCCGTAGGTGAAGGGGCGGAGGTAGGCTTCGTCCATTGTACGTGGGATGAGCATTGTAAGGGGGAGGTGGGATTGGATTAGGTGGGTGAAGGCTTCTGCGCGGAGGGTGCTTGAGGGCGTGTATGTTGGTTGTTTTTGTTTTTGTTCTTGTTCTTGTCCTTGATCTCCTGCTTCGCCTTGTCCATCATCCTCAGCAGCGACTCCTACTTCTTCTTTCTGCGCAAAGTCAGGTGTAGAGTCCGCATACCAAAACGCTGGCTGTACAGCCAACGACTGCCAGTCCAGCATCGCCGTGAGAATTGTTGGATCCTCATCCGAAACGAATATGTTCCGTGAATTTAGGTCTGGGTGGAATAGTATAGGCGTGGACACCATTTGCATGAGCGTAGTTTGGATCATCTGTTTTGTTATTGCGCGGCAGTATTCTAGGAGGACTTTGTGTTCTGAGATGGTGCCGTGGTAGGACGGGAGGCGGAGGGAAGAGGCTATGCTGGCGGGTGGGAGGCGCGAGAGGCCTACGTCGGTGAGGGCGGAGCTGAAGGTGGGGAGGTCTGGCCCTGGGGTGATGATGAGGATGTTGGGTTGATACTGGAATGATGGGGGTTGGCTTACATGGTCCTCGGTTGGGCTTGACATCGTGGTAGTACTTTGGTGAGGTGGGTGAACAGTTCCAATATAAGTCGTCGCAACTAGGTCCGATGCAGAAGTCTGAGTCCAGCGGGATTGCGGAACCCTCGATGTACGGTGTGTCGGTTCGATATATACTGCCGTATGCGGGGAACACAAGGTTGGTCGCCTCTTTCATTTTCTGGTAGATGGGTTTCATGCACAATGTTCGCTGAACCTCTGTCATCTCGTGCCATTTCGAAGCCAAGCAGACGCCCGATGCATGTTCCATGATGATGTACTCGCTTCCGATGGCATTAGATGCGTCGTCGCTCCAGTCTATGATTCTGGGAATAGGGATCCTTGTCTTGTTTTGCACTGATAGAATGGAAGGTCAGTCATTTCCTTTACCACACTTCGTGTCTTCCAGTCCCTGAGATCAGAACGTACAGTACTCCACCGTAGCGACCTCCGAACCCGTTGTATACCTCGGTGGGCCCGCCACAGAAAACGGCAGTTTCGCAACACGACGTTCCCCATTGTCAGTCTGGAAAATGAAGACCCGGTTGCTGCCGCCTTCAGTCTTCTCACACGAGGTGATGGAATGAGAACCGGGGCATAGAGCTATGATCTTGCGACACAAAGCGTCAAAGTCGAATTGTATGAACCGTGCCTTTCGCTCAATTGCATCGTTACGGAGCCATCGCCCTTTTGTGTAGTTGTAGGGGTCGAAGTCTGCGTGAAGGTTAGCAATGTGAAAGAAGCTACTTGGTGAGGATAGGAGGATGGCGTACCTTCACCGAAAGGATGCTTTGAATGCGTTGATGTGGAAAATGCTGCTCGGAATCGACGTATTTTTTCAGGCCTTATACTATGGTGTGTATAGACGGGAGCTCCTTGCCAACTTACAAGTCCTCTGCTGATGGATAAGCATTTGTTATGCGTTCGAACAGTACACAAGGCAAGAGTGGTGAGCGACCGTCTTGAGATATGGTACATAGCAACGCCTCGAACAACGATAGGTAAATAGATGTATAATCAAACTGTGATCAAGAGAGCGAAAGTGCAACCGCATTGAGCGGAGCTGTTGACAGGCACCCAAAATGCTTGCAACTGTGCCGCAGTCGAACATACGAGGCTGAGCATATCGGCGCTACTCCAGAACGCTTGCTATTGGCGCGTCTGATGCGTAGATCTGTATACGCATTGGAAGTAGCCTTGTAGGCATGACCAGATCTTCTTGCATCAAGGCTACCGATAGAGATGTTTTGACTCGCTGAGTAGCATCGTGAAGAACACAAATTCGAAAGCCGGTTGATGGTATCTTCTGTAGATATTATTCTTGGGGATCATTTAGCTACTTCAGCCCAGTGAACGTGATACCTTTCGCACGAACTCATTCCATTCGAAGGTACCCAATCATTCATCTCTCATCGATGAAAGTTTTACCCCAGCCCTTGGGGATATAATGCAAATAATATGTCACAAGTTCTGTCCTCTTCACCTGACATCCTTCCGTTTAACGCCAACGCTGATAATGCAAATAAGGTAGAGCCTAAGCTCTTAGACCTGGGCCAGGTACGGCAGGCGCCGCCTTGTTGACCTCGGGCTTAGTATCCTTTTCTGTGTTCTTGAGACGCGCCAAGATGACCGTGAGCGTCTTCTTCTCTCTTCCATCATTGTCTAGCACATGAATCAAATCACGGAGCTGGATACCGGCGCCTGTTTCGGTCTGCTCAATGGTGTCGCCGAACTTGCGCTTCTTGCCCATGAGAGCCTTTTCGGGCGCTTGGACTGCAGGTGTAGCGGCGCCACTACCACCTGTTGCTGCAGCTGGTCGTGGTGTTGATGCACCTGACGCTGGTCCTCCACCACCGCCCGTCATCCACGAGTATTTCTTCTTCTTGCCACCAAGCGCCATGCTGGCGGTCTCGTTGGCTTTGCCGAATACGACAACGTCTGACTGACTTTGCTTCTTGGCGAATGCCAAAGCCTTCTTTGTCACAGGTTCCGGCATGGGTATTGGTGCGGCTGGCGCATCTGCTGAGGAGGCCGAGGCGCCTGCTTGACGCTTCGCGCGCTTGCGGAGGCGCTCCTGCTCCCACTTGTAGTCATCATTGACGCGCTTCGTAAGTGCAATGGCAACGTGGTTGACGTTTTGGTATGTTCGCTGAGGGGTTGGGGGTGCTTCGCTTGGAGGCGTTGGTAATCGTCCCGCATTGGGGATGCCTAAGTCGATTAGCAATAAATCGGAAGAAATTCAAAACAGACATACCCTTGCTGGCTGTCGCTGTAGGGCTGACAGCGCTGTCTGTTGCCTCCCATGGCGTCTTCAAGATGTTGACTGGCGGAGCCATCTTCTCTGATGCGCCCTCATCCACCACAGCAAGATCAAGCATTTGTGGGGGAATGATGCCATGAGAAGTATTTTGACGACCTTGGCATAAAGCAAAAGAATCCTCAACTATGGTCCGGACACGCTCCTCGGCAGCCAGCGATATCAGCGTCAGAATCTCCACAAGTGGAGCGTTCTGGTTCAGTAGACTGGCAGCCTCCAAGCCTACGATTTGTTCGCCGTTGGCACCAGCTGCAGTGGTACGTGCGATCTCTTGCTGTCCCTTGTCTGGGATTTTGTCAAACAAGCCATCAACATTGATCTGGATACCGTGCTCATAGCCGCGTTTCGCGATGCGATGTCTTAGGACACTTGCTGACAGGAACGGGTCGTTCAGTGGCTGCTGGGCTGACTCGTTCAGGATCCTGGCGGCTTGCTCGTGCTTCCTGATGAACTCGGCTTCATGCTGCTCCTTGGTCATTTCTTGACTAAGTGCGCCGGTCCCTTGGAATGCGCCATGGCCCGACTGCTGGCTCCAGTTATTGAAGCTAGCATGTGGTGATGCTGTGGAGCCCGATGCTTGCGAGTTGAAGCTCCTGTAGTTGTGCAGCAGGTTGTCCTCCTCGGCACGCAGATCGATACCAGATCCTGTGAGCACATCGCTAATGTTATTGACGTCCAGGTCGCGCGCATTCGCCTTCTCTAATTCCGAACTATCGCCAGTCTTGCTATAAGGGACCTTGGGTGGCGGCATAGAGCCCTGGGGCGCTGGCGGCTGTCCATTCGGGTGCTGATACGGCTGGGGCTGGTGGAAGGGCGGAGGCTGCATGGCGGCGGGCGAGGTGGGCATTGAGTGGTAGCCAGGCGTCTGCGGGGAAGCGGTATACGGCGAGGGAGGGTATTGGGGCGCGCCAGGCATGCCAAAAGGCGACTGGTACGGCGCAGGCGATGGCGGGTTTGGCGACAGGCGCTGCCGCTTATTCGGAGGGATGCCGCTGCCCATGGTCGGGGACAGGGCGGTCGGCGACTGCTGGTAATTCTGCGGTGAGAAGGCGCGCGGCTGTTGCTGGTGGCCCAGATTCTGCGTTTGCACGGGCGGCGGGGGCTGCTGGCCCGGCGGCGGATACTGGTAGTTGTTCGGGTAGGCCATGGTGGGCAGCTCGTCCCTTTCGGGGAGTCGCGCTGGCAGAGGGTTTCTATCGGCGCGTCATCCGGCGGCAGTATGGTCGGGGCTCGGTAGCGCTTGCGATGGGACGTGTTCGGCGGGCAGGCGCGGTGGGTGGAGTTGGCAGGCGCGTCGGGGTTGGTGATGTCGCGGTTGACAGAGCGGACGATGAATCTGGGAATGACGAGCACGGACAAAGCCTTGGCAGTCGCGCGCCAGACAAAGAGAGCCGCAACGGTTAACCAACTGCCACTCCGCTCTCACTCGACGCTGCCACGACTTCTCTCTCACCCTTGGGCGTTTCCATTGAGGCGTTGAATATCCCTGCGACACCAATTCACGATTAATGAGCTAGGTCCAGGCGCGGGTTATAGATATCTTACGCGTTCTTCTTCGGCTACCACCTGGGCATCCACCAACCCCGTAGCTTCACCTCCGTCGCCCGTATACCACCTAGTAAAACATCCACAACTCAACCCACACAACGATGGCGTCGAAGAGAAAGGCGACGGCTATGGCGCCCGAGGATGAAGACCCGATAGATCCTTCCGACGAGCTCATGTTCCTCTGTTTAGGAGGCGGCAACGAGGTTGGTCGGTCGTGTCACATCATCCAGTACAAGGGCAAGACCGTCATGGTACGCACTCAGGACTCGCATGCTCTACGGCAACTATACTAACGAGGGACAGCTTGATGCCGGTATGCATCCCGCACACGAAGGCTTGTCAGCCATGCCATTTTACGATGACTTCGATCTCAGCACCGTAGACGTGCTACTAATTTCACAGTATGTATACGCGCGTCTTGCTTGCCATGGTAGTTGGGGTTCGGCGCATCACTGGAGTCGGACCATGAGCGCGCAAAGGGCACTCGCAATACAGCGACTTGTATATCACTATGAATGGAATATAATTTGCTTCCTCCCGCTCGACTTCGATGATGTGCCCCTCCCTGGTTCCCACCAATGTATCTACAACTTTGGGCGCTTCTTCCGGGCTCACACTGAGTCCCCCAGTCGTCCTCCAGCATGCTGACATCAGGCTAGTTTCCACGTCGACCATGCTGCATCTCTACCCTATGTACTTGCGAAGACCAACTTCAAGGGCCGCGTATTCATGACACATCCGACCAAGGCCATCTACAAATGGCTCATCCAAGACTCTGTCCGTGTCGGTAATATGTCGAGCAATTCCGAGACCAAGATCCAAATGTACACCGAGGCGGACCATCTCAACACCTATCCTATGATTGAGTCAATCGACTTTTACACCACCCACACCGTATCCGGTGTACGGATAACACCATACCCAGCTGGACACGTACTTGGAGCGGCCATGTTTCTTATGGAGATTGCAGGCCTAAAGATACTCTTCACCGGCGACTACTCGCGGGAAGACGATCGACATTTGGTATCAGCTTCAGTACCTCCAGGCGTAAAGATCGACGTCCTCATCACCGAGTCAACATTCGGTATCTCGATGCATACGCCACGTGTCGAGCGAGAGGCACAGCTCATGAAGGCTATTACCGACGTGCTCAACCGCGGAGGTCGTGCTCTACTTCCAGTCTTCGCCCTGGGTAGAGCCCAGGAACTTCTTCTCATTCTCGACGAATACTGGAGTAAGCATCCAGAAGTTCAGAAGATACCCATATACTACAACTCCAGCTTAGCTCGGAAGTGTATGCAGGTCTACCAAACGTACGTCTCGGCCATGAACGACAACATCAAACGTCTCTTCGCCGAGCGCATGGCCGAAGCCGAAGCCGCGGGAGACACCGGTCGACGTGGAGCTTGGGATTTCAAGTTTGTCCGTTCACTCAAGAGTCTGGAGCGTTTCGACGATCTGGGTGGATGTGTCATGCTTGCGTCGCCGGGTATGATGCAGTCTGGCACATCGCGCGAGCTGCTTGAGCGATGGGCTCCCGACCCAAGGAATGGTGTCATCATTACCGGTTACTCCGTCGAGGGCACCATGGCAAAACAAATCGTTCACGAGCCGGACCAGATCCCAGCAATCATGTCCCGCGCTAGTAACGCAGCACGCCGGCCAGGTCAGAGGGAGAATGAGCAGGCCATGATTCCCCGACGGTGCACAGTCCAGGAGTACAGTTTCGCGGCGCACGTTGATGGAAAAGAGAACATGGAGTTTGTGCAAGAAGTCGCAGCTCCTGTCGTTGTAAGTCTAGCTTAGTCCACATCCATGGTGAAGACCACTTACTTACTGAATCTCAGATTCTTGTTCACGGCGAAAAGGGTAATATGACACGCCTGAAGTCTAAGCTCCTTTCCTTCAACGCCCAGAAAGCCGTCCCCACGAAGATTTACTCGCCCGCCAACTGCGAGGAACTCCGAATTCCTTTCAAGACCGACAAGATCGCCAAGGTAGTTGGAAAGCTAGCATCTATTGCTCCGCCTTTACCTCGCTCTCTGTCTTCCAATGGTGAAGGTGAGGCTACTGAAGACCAAGAAGGGGAGAAGGTGGACATGATCAGTGGAGTTCTCATCCAGAACGACTTCAAGATCTCTCTCATGGCGCCCGAGGATCTCAAGGAATATGCCGGTCTGACTACAACCACCATCATGTGCCGTCAGCACCTTACCCTATCAGCTGCTGGCATCGATCTCATACGATGGGCTCTTGAAGGAACCTTTGGTGCTATCAAAGAGAGCAGTCTCACAGATGCTGCCGTGGACGGCAAGATGAATGGCAACGGCACAGGTCACAAAGAGGAAGCAGACGAAGAAGTCAGCCGCACAGAAACAAAGTTCACAGTAATGGACTGCGTAAACGTCCTAATCAAGAACGGAGGAAGAGTAAAAGTAGAATGGGAAGGCAACGTAATCAACGACGGAATCGCCGACGCCGTCCTCGCCGTCCTCTTCACAGTCGAATCCTCACCAGCAGCTGTCCGACGTAAGTCCTCCCTCCCTCCCCTCTTATCCTTACCAAGTATACTAACACATGCCCTAGAATCCTCAAAACAGCATTCCCACAGCCACGCGCCCAAACAAGAAGCCGACGACATCACCACCACAAAACTAACCCACCGCTTCAAGAACCCGCACCCCCACCGCACAACCGACCCCTCCACGCGCCTCGCCCGCCTCTTCCTCTTCCTCGAAGCCCAATTCGGCGAAGAAGCCGTCCGCCCCATCACCCTCCCCCGCAACAGCACCACAACCGCCACTACAAACGGCACTCCCGCTGCCGCCCACTCAGATTCCATGGATACCTCCACGCCCGACGGCTCCGAACCATCCAACATCACCGCGTTTCCGCCTCCCATTGCGCCTGACGACCAGTTGTCGGCGGAGGATAAAGCGGAGTTGAAGCGGTTGCATAATTTGGGGATTCCGGTTCCAGGCGTGGAGATCAAGTTTGATAAGTTTGTGGCGAAGGTTTGGTTGGAGGATTTGGAGGTTGAGTGTGCGAATAAAGCGTTGAGGGCGAGGGTTAAGGCTGTTGTTGAGAGGGGGGTTGAGACGGTTAGTGGGTTGTGGCGGTAGAGTGGGGGTGGTCTGGGAGGGGGTTTGGGGTGGCGAGGTATAGGGGAAGGATGGGGAGAAAGACGAGTGTGTAGATCATGGGAGCACGTTAACCTAGGGAAAAACTGAACAGGTCTGCAGACTACATTAACATGGAAATATGCAAAGTAGGTGGTCTGACGTCGATGTAGGCTCTGGACCTGTTCTGCTTTTTTCTTGTTTGAGGTGGGAGGAGGTGTTTTGACATTCAATCACAGTGGAAGGATTTTGGCTTTTCTATTCTCATTTGCGATTACTTTATGGAGACTTTCGATTCGTTCGTGGGGTTCACTAGTTTACCAGAAAGTTCAAACAACAGTAACTCCAAGATCTCGATTGCCAAACAACTCCGTGTCTATGCATCCGCCTGTAAGCTGACAAAACCGCCTGCATCAATGTTGAAGAACAGTCCACCCAATCCTACCCCTCCAAATGCCAAGCCGGAATCTCCAACATAGCCTTTTCATCCTGCGTGGGTCGCAGCACCGGCGTCTTGGGCATGCGCGGCGCAGTACGCGATCTTAGGTACTGAATCACCCTCAACAACAGCTTGGAGTGTGAAGCACGACCCAAGGTGGAGCGGTCTGTGAGATCGATGTCTTCCCATTCCATCATGTCGATTTCCGTACTTGATGTAGGAGAAGAAGATCGTGAAGTTTGCGAATTTGGTGTTGGCACTTCAAAGGACGCGGTGTCGAGGGACGTAGTCGACATAGTTGAATATGTCGATGCCGAGAAAATTGAAGCATTCGAAGACGATGTCCTCGATGAAGTTCGTGACGAAGCCCTTGAAGGATGGGCAGACGGGAACGGAGACGGCGAGGAATGCGGGTCCGATGGCATAATGTCGAGCTCGTACTCTTCGGCGTATTTTGGCTTTTGAGATTTTGGCTTGATGGTATTGATGTGCGCGTGGACGAGTTGTGAGAGCATCATAACTGGAACCTGGGATGGTTTCGGGTGGTGGTGGATGAAAAGCGTTGTGTGAAGAGCTTTTTGAAGGGTCTTTTGACTTTTGTGAAAGACTTGTGTGTGTGAAAGAGGTATGTGAAGAGTTGAGCGTTGAATTCAGAAGTAGTCATGGTGGCCTCTGTTTATATACTCTGATATCTATAGTGAAACGTGGATGTGATATTCTATTAGTGTGGACATGCGCGATCCATGGTTGTGTCGAAAATCACATTGGCGTGGATTGGCCCACTTGACGCACCTCAGCCATGTGATTGGGGACAGGCGAAACAAGTAGGGAAGATTGTGGCTGTGATTTTTTCGATGCGTAGACATCACTGCGCGGGCATGAATTCTGCATTCCACGTCCCACGTCCCACGTCCCACGTCTTTGGTGTAGCATTGATCGTGAAGGGAGTGACGACTGTAGTATTCACATGTAGTCCACAACCATGGTCGTGTGCAAGTAAAACCTGCACTGCTATTATCCTCAGAAAATGTTAGAACGCCAGTCAGCTTACGATGCGCTCATACATGGTACTGATGTACCACGAATCAGTGCGAGGACTTTACGCGGGTCAGAGGCTCTAGCGCGGTTGAGGGAACGGTTGCCTCAGGCCAATTCGAACACCGTCGATGACTGCGAACAGGAGGATTTCGATGCGCGCTTCACTTTTGAAAAAAGCGGGACAGTACCCTCGTCGCCTCGATATGATGATGAATACGAGGTGTCGGACGTCGATCTCGAGGACATCATAGCCCAACTCGACGACCTATGTCGGGAAGAATCGCATCTTGACATCGATGAAGAAGTGGCGGACGGAAAGCAGTACCGGAATGTGGCAGCGGCGTTAAGGGCTGATGAGTCAGGCATGGATACCTCAGTCCTGGAGCAAATCAGGAACGCAGACGGATCAAGTGACCGGGTGTTCGACGACTTACTTGCTCCGTTACGTTCAGAGCCACTACTACTGGGAATCGAGGAGTCAGAAGAACACATGTTAGACGTTATACTCACTTGGAACAAGCGCATTGCCGACCAGCGTAATAGTGACTCGATCGAGCGCCAGGCCTTTGTTGCTGCTCTCAGGGAGAGAGTGAAGGTTGTCGACAAAGTTTTGGCGATTGTCAGTGACAACAGAAATAGCAACCAGGACAATGAGACTGGACAGAACGGCATCCTAGAACCTTCTCAACGTCAATTACTGAAAGCTATCCACGCATACCGACCAGAAACAAACGATTTTAAGAACCAGGATCCATTTGACATGCTTGTCATCATGTTAGCGCATATCCGACAGAAGGAGTTCGAGTTTGCCAATAGGGACAATGGCATATACCTTGCTCTCAAGGTGTTGAGCGGACAGGAGCAGCTGGAGCACCGATTCGACCGTGAGAAGAAGAGACGTGCTTATCAAAGGAACAAAAAGAATGCAGCGGAAGATGATAATAGGGAGGAGGTAAAACGATGCGAGACCAAATGGAGAGCTTATAACAGGAAGCTGGCAGGAAGAGCGCGACAAGGACTAATGGCTAAGATCCAATGCGCACGGAACGAGCTGAGGAAGGCCGGAATTGACGAGCTGCTGGATCTGGCTGTACTTCGATCAGCACAGCCACGAACCTCCAGAGAACCTCATCCAGGCGTCTACACTCCATCGCTGGAGGAGATATTTGACGCATGTAACAAAGCAGACGACTATGACAATCTCAACCATGAGTTCGCAGAGCACTTTCCGCATCTGGAGACCAAGCTGGAAGTGACTGTAAACAATGCGCAAGACATGAAAACAGTTCATGACACGGTTTTGTTCCGGATGGTGAAGCTCGCTGGTGCAGATCTGAAGGGTCTCGATAAGGATGAGAGGAAAAAGGTAATGGCGGCGCGCCTCAACGACCCCGTCACGGCAACGGTAATTGAGGAGACACTAAAGGGCGTGACGGACACACGTCGAGCTGCGAAGCAGATGCTCGAGCAGCTTGGGCTGATAGGGCAACCCATGCGTGAATTGCTGGGCGCTGTAACGGCGAAACGCGACGACCTAGCTGAATTGACACGCTTGATCAATCGCGAGGAATGTCCAGATACCAGCAACGAGATCCAAGAGCAGGCATAAGAGGACAAAAGGAAGTTGGCGATGCTGGCGGAGATAACGCTCTTAATTCCGGTTGTTGAGGTTTCTGATTCCGATCGATCTCAGTACGTCGCTTCATGTATGTCAATTTTTGCGTCTCGTAAGGCTGAACGCCAGCGGTGCCTGGCTTGAGCGATGTAGAATAATGCGCAATTTTAGTACTGCTATAGCACCAACCTGCGCATCGGGATTGGGGTGCGGGATTAATTGATACCGATGGGCACGCACTAAGGCGCGGTGATGTGAATGGAGGGTGTGCTGCAGGGCGGATATCCGGATTGCAGTCGGGAAAGAACGGGTCCAGCGCCAAGCACAAAACTTCTCATCAACTATCGCGGCTTTCTAATCTCCGCCTGTCCATCTTCACCACCACCAAACCTCTCCACTCCACTTCCTTCGCTTCTACCATCCATACCAGCGAAATGGCCACCTCTCCTCCCCCCACCGCCACCGGCTCCAACAAGGTCGATGCCGCAAAGGCTAAGCTTGCGGCCGCTGACCCTACCGCGCCCACTGGCCTGGCCCTGTACTCGCGATTCGCTTTCGCCGGTGCCGTCTGCTGCTCCGTCACCCACGGAGCCCTCACACCCGTCGATGTGTACGTTGTGCCGCTCCCCAATGGCTCGGGACGATGCCAATGCCTGCATCGCACACGCTTTGCGACAGTTGACAGATGTCGAAAATGACGACAGAATGCCAAGCTAACATGTGCAACAGCGTCAAGACCAGGATACAACTTGACCCCGTCACCTACAACACCGGTCTGATCGGTGGATTCCGCAAGACCATCGCCAATGAGGGTATGGGCGCTGTCTGGACCGGTTTCGGTCCCACCGCTGCCGGTTACTTCCTCCAGGGTGCCTTCAAGTTCGGAGGTTACGAGTTCTTCAAGCAGCAGTCCATCAACCTCGTCGGTTACGAGACTGCCGCCAACAACCGCACTGCCGTCTACCTCGCCTCTGCCGCCGTCGCTGAGTTCTTCGCCGATGTCGCCCTCTGCCCTCTCGAGGCTACCCGTATCCGTCTCGTCGGTGACCCAACCTTCGCCAACGGTCTCGTTGGTGGATTCTCCAAGATCCTGAAGAACGAGGGTGTCGGTGCCTTCTACTCTGGTTTCGGACCCATCCTGTTCAAGCAGTATGTACAATTCCTCTGATTGAAAATTGGTTTTGGCTAATCATCCATCAGGGTTCCCTACACCATGGCCAAGTTCGCCGTCTTCGAGAAGGTCAACGAGGCCGTCTACTCCGTCGTCGACAAGAGCCAAACCTCCAACGGCATGCAGACCGTCTACAACTTGGGCTCTGGTATCATTGCCGGTTTCGCCGCCGCCATCATCTCCCAGCCCGCCGACACCATGCTCTCCAGGATTAACAAGACCAAGGGTCTTCCCGGAGAGGGAACCACCTCCCGTTTGATCAAGATCGCCAAGGAGCTCGGTCTCCGTGGCTCTTTCGGTGGTATTGGTGCCCGTCTTTTCATGGTTGGTACCCTGACCGCTGGTCAGTTCGCCATCTACGGTAAGTTTTTTCTCAACGCCTTCTGTCGCGCCTAAAGCTAACTTCACCAGGTGATATCAAGAAGGCACTCGGTGCTACAGGCGGTGTAGAAATCGCTAAGACTAACTAAGTTTTCGTCTTGTGCGATGCGGAGAGAGTGACGGAGGAGATGATACCAAGACAGCCATGACAGCGGGTCTCGAGGTGGACTTGTCGCACAAAAAGTCTGTCTTTTCTTGCATAATGGCTGGCATGGGTTTGTTCGATATCACATTTCTTCTATGTGTTTTGCGTTTATTTGCAGTCATTCAAGTTAGATCTTGCTTCGCTTAGACGGCGATTTTATGTAACAGTACGATCGAGTAGGAAACATACTGCACAATAGACCCAACTCATAATGTCCAAGCCTTGCATCCAAGTGATATCGAACGGCATTGAGAACCGGGCATTTGATCGTGCTGATGACATTCTTAACGTCGAGGGCTACATGTCCTGTGGGAGATCTGAGGCCTAGGAGCAAGTTGTACCATTACAACATTATAGCCGTACAAACAAAACAGCAGCACCTTTTTTAAATAAAAGATTAGATACTCTAGAGCCTACAGTAATATTAAGGTTGTATACTTTGCATATTTCTATAATAACGTAGGCTCTACGTTAATGTTAGGTTACATACACTGCATCTTACTATGTTAATGTAGGCTCTAGAGTGTCTAGTCTTTCTCTTAAATAAGGTGCCAGCCTGACGCTGATCTAGATCGACCGTGTCCTCGTATTTGAACGCAGCACAAAACTTATGCTTGCGATCTTCACAGTTAACGATAGCAATCTCAAAAGGGATGCTCGCTCTGTCACTAATACCCAGCACTCATCCCTCAGCATCTGTAGCCCACATGTGGGGTTTCCTATAGTTTCCCGTAGCACATACTATCAAAATGCTTTGATGAGATAGAGCAACTTTTCCAATAATGCAACGAGAAGACATAACAAACAAATGATGGATATAGATTATGTCTCGAGCTATGTGGCTGATATTGGAAACATTGCACATGTGGTAGAACTAATAAAATCGCCTTAAATCTCACAACAAAGTATATCCACGAGATATAGCCCTGCATTAACACCTCCTCTGCTTCTACTAAGTTGTTCTACAGCTTATCGCGTACTCTTGCTGACCTTCTTAGATGCTCGCTGCGACCCGGCCGTTCCTGGAGTGGCGTCGTCTGAACGACGCTTAATGCGGGCCGGTATCAGACATCCATGGGTGATCTGCACATGAGCTTCAAGTTGGAGATCGTTCATTTCCTCCTCTTTCGTACAGGTCAACGGGAAGCATGGGCAGGTGAGGAGCGAGTCGCCAACAGATTTGAGGTGGCCGCGGATATGCTTTGGGTGGCCCTCGCGGTTGAATGTCGCGATGCGCTCGTGGGCTGGAAGAGACTCGTTATGATAACAGAAAGGGCATAGTCTTGGTATCAGATCGCGTCCCATCCTTACTCCACAGTATCCGTGTATCATGATCATGGTTTGCACCGTGTCTAGATGCGTGACTGCATGAGAGATGGCCTCGGCGGGGTTGACTAGCCATTGGTCACAGATCCGACACATTTCTGCGACTGGAGCCCTGGAGCCAGTGATCCCGTGGGCCGACCACAAGTGGACTGTCCTGTCTTGCTCATTGATGAAGTCGGGACCGTCTCGAGCGAAGCGGCCAATCTGCGGATGTACGGCACAGGCGCCGAAGTAACAAGTTATCTGATTGTCACCGTCGCCATCCCTCTTGGTCATGGAACGGATGTGGCCTCTCATGTGCTCGCCGCGCTTGTCGTGTGAGGTGAACACGGCTCCACATAGTGTGAACATCCCCTTCCGAGCTGTTTGGAATTGGCAAGGTACTGTTGGAGACGACACCGTGTTGAGGATATGTGTTGCTTCTTCGCTGGCAGCTTCTTTTGCGCAAGCGTAGGCGTGTTCGTGTGCGTGATGTGGCTCGTTGAGATCCTCACCGCAAAAGCGGCAGTCGTAGCTCCCGGGGAACGTGTAGAACAGAGAGGAGTGTACAATGTATTGATGTTCTATGTAGAGGGAGGAACCCCTAGTATATATAGTAGAGGGGTAACGCTAGTAAGTGAATGTATAGTGAATAGGTGGATCACGTGTATGGATGCCTAACCAACAGAACGGCTCCTCCCCGATGTTGAAGGCATCGATCGGGTGGCAGATGCCGTACCATTGCATCAAGACGGCACATAGCTGTCCCTCTGTTTCGCATGCACTCACGTCCTCTACCATATCATTGTAGGCCGAGTGGCCCTTGGTGGACTGAGCATATTTTTCGAGGGAGCGGAGGTTGTCGAGCGAGTGACCGTGCAACGCCATCTGTCTGTCTGGAGTCATCGAGGGTGGCGTCTAGCTCCTCTGCGCTCTGGATATTGTCCGTGATATCCTTGTCAAGCCCTGTGCCATCACCAAAAAGATCTTCCAACTCTTCCTGCTCTTCTGTCGAAGGTGTCTCTTCTGCGTTGCGTGTGTTCAGTACTGCGTCGTAAGCGTCAATATCCCCGTCTTCTGCTACGAAGAGTGGGAGATCGGAGACGTCTGACGTTATGTCTACCTCTGTGATGGCGTCGTTGAGCTCCGACAGGGCTGCCTTGGTGAACCCTAGTGACTCAAAATGCTGCTTGTACTCGGTCCTGAAGATCTTGGTACTGACGTGGATGACCATCGCCTTTCGCTCTGCCTCGGCGGTCTGGTACACTTCCCATTGTGGATCGCCTGCTCTTGCTGCTACCGTTAAGCTGCCGTGCTTGGATCGGAGAGTGGCCCGCACAGCGTCTGATGTCTGCCGAGCGTTCTTGACTTGTTCATCTTCCTGCACGCGAAGCTGTCCTTTGTCCCATATGGTAGTTGGTGCCTCTGAACTGCGGTTCAGCGAGATGCCCGTCTGCACAAGAACCGATCGCTGCGGCATGTTCCGATACATGGCACCAAAGTCGACGGTCGATATGCGCGACTTGTATTTGGGGAACACCTGCCAGTAGTCAGCTTTGAGTTCATCATTGGCAGATCATTTGGCGTAAATCGATCCTTACCTGGCGACTGTGCCCCATCAAGAATACCCGGTCCTCTTCAGATGCACGTGTTGCCAATGTGTACACTAATCCGACAGCACTACCAAGTCAAGATGCAGGTGAGTGCTATATCGATGGCATGTAGAGTACGATACTGACTGTAGATAGGACACGCCGTGCAAGCGCCGTTGTCTCTGGCCGTCGCAGCATGAAGGAGTTGAGAATCTGGATGAATGCCATCAGGCCTTTTGCCCTGGGTGCTTTCCAGAGGTTACCCTTTTGGTGTACTAGTAGCTGCACCATCTCTTGTTTTGACTGGATGTCGTGCGCCCCAACCTTGTGGTACAGTGCATAGAAGTCGGACCACTTGTTGTCGAGAGGGCTCCCGGTCAACATGATGCACGCGTCAAACTGACTTTTCAGCTCTTTCAGTGCCGCAAACGTGCGCGACTTTTCGTTCTTTATAGCGTTCACTTCATCTAGAACCAAGATTGGTCCCTTTTCCATATTGCGGCCGCCAGATAGAGCCCAAGAACTTCAGAATCTACATAGTGTAGAGGAACACTTGGTGTCCAACCGCGAAGATTGCGTTTGACTTGGTGGGCCCGGGAGTTACTCAGCGATTTTGAGAGCGTCGTCTGATGTCGGACACGGCGTTCTGGAGCCGACCTGTAGTGTTGATACATGTCCTTGATGCTGTCGTAGTACTTTATGGCCTTCCAGGAGCGGGTGTGCTTAAACGTTGAGATAAGTCAAGCACGCCGTATCGAGCAAGGGTTATTGGCAGAATCGTTGCATCTCGGACTGCAAACACGCGGAGACATCTCCCTCAAAGTACTCTGTATCACATGGTCGACTTTTGGGGAGAATTGAGGGAAGAGAAGTAGTGCAAGATAGGCGGGCAGGAGGATTCGACGGTCTTAAGAGCTATTGGACTATATGACTTAACGTCATGACGGTGTCAGATGTACCTCACAACGTGCTAATACCTTTTAACTAGTGCCATGGGGCCGGCACTTAGGCGGCATCGTATTACTCGAAGATGTCAGATCTACACCTGCTATATTGTGGTCTAGAACCAGAGGTGTGGTACAAGTCGCGATGTTGAAGACGTACGCTTTGTATCCGCCTAGACGTGAGGATACCTGGCTATGCCATAGGCTGCGAACTCGGTGCGTTGATACGTGGAACATTTGTTTTCAAGGCATTTGGAAATTGACACGTCGTTGGAATAGCCGCCTGGATTCAGAACGTGTCTCAGGTGTCCGAGGTCCAGGTTTGCATATCGCTCAGTGGGCGCAACGGGGCGATGTTGGTGCGATGGAGGGCTTCTCACGTCAGCCCCGCTTGCTGTCGGTGATGCCGCGTCGCTTCGCGACTGCCAGCTTCCACCTGCACCTGCACAGCTACAGCATGTCAGCCTTTCCTGGGCACTCTCAGCCTCACTCTCAGTATCTCCCATGCATTCATATATGGCCGGTTGGGCCAATTCGGCAGCTCAGCGGCCTTGCTACGACGTCTCGTTATCCTCCGCAGTTTTCTCTCGAGTTCCTCTGGATCCTTCCCGGGTGCAGCCAACCGCATTGAGTAACGAAGCCGCAAGCTACCCATGACAGAGCTGTTGGTCAGCTTCTCATCAGCAACGCAGGGCTAACATTCCTCCTTCTGTGCAAGTCGCAACTTGCTTCTGCATTGAGGTTCTTCGTCGCTTAATGCGAAGGATTTTCGGTGTAGCTAGCCAATGTCCGACCGCCCGGGCGCATCATCTCGCGATTTTGCATTTCAAACCTATGACCAAGCAGGTGGAGCTCCGCAACAGCACCCGCAGCACTTCTACGGTGCCTATCATGCCGAGCACGACGCAAACACGACCGAGGCCGCAAGCCAGGCGCATAGCCATGACTTCGCCGGGGGATATCACGACTACAATGCGGCACAGCACCCAGTGATGGCAGGTCACTTCGCAGGTTTGGGCTTTGGCTCCTCTGTGCCTACAGGCTGGGACGCAATCGACTTCACCGACTTCACCGACCAGTACGAGCCGCAGGGAGAACTTGTCCAAGAATACCAAAGCCAGGCAGATGCCATAAACAACTTCAACATCCCGCTCCCTGTCTCGGCAGGCGAAGCGGCGTACCAGGCATTCCCACAGAGCCAGAGCGTCACTCCAGCGCCAAATGTCGCGCAAAGCCAGAACCAACTGTCGCCTCCGCTGCCACCAGCTCCAGCACAACAGCAACAACGACCGCCTGTTCAAGCAGGTACGAAGAGGAAGGCAGACACAGAATCTCCTTCAGCCGCACAGCAAGATAGTGCCGCAGCGGAGAACCCCCCGAAGCGCCAGAACGTGTCGCGACAACCATCCGATGCCTCAGCCGCGTCGCCAGCCGTCATAGCCCCGGTTGACGCTCAAACGCCAGCCATGACGCGCACCGCTGCCACCTCCGAAGCCACACCCCGACAAGTGTCACGAGAGGACACAAATACAGAGCGACGGAAGGAGCAGAGTAAAGGTACGGGGCCACAGGGAAGGGTCATCGATGTCTCGACACCACGTAGAGTGCCAGGGTCGCCCGGCGCACTCGACATCCTTCCTGCCGGCAAGGTGTTTCCTATACAGATTGGGTCAGAGCTGTTCAGACTGTCAGGAGCGTCGATTTCGTCAGATGGTGAGTATACGCTGAAGACATCAGAACGGAACAGCAACTAAGACTATTAGAGCACCCTCACACTTTTCGCATTTCTTCGGCCAGCAATTGCATGACAATGGCGGTCGTGCCGGTGACGTAAGGACGCTGTACATCGACCGCGACCCGGATACGTTTCGCGATATCGCACTCCACCTCCAGGGCTACCACATCACACCGAGAGATGGCGAACATTTCGTCAAGCTGTATGCAGATGCGCAGTTCTACTCGCGTAAGCTTAGCCATATATAACGAAAGGAATAGATGCTAACATCAGCAGTGCCTCGTCTCACCAAACAGCTGTTTAGCACCGACATCTTCGTGCGCATCGGGGGAACACCCTTCCAGATACAACGCGATCTCTTCTCTGCTCCCGGGGATAGCCCGAACTATTTCTCGCTAGGCTTTGCGCATTTCTTCTCGACGCCAAACGAGGCATTCCCGGGACTGGACCGCGATGCCTTGCTTCGACCGCCGTCCATCAAGCCTCCTTCGGTGCCGAGCAGAGACGGGGAGGTCTTCCGCGAGCTGATACAATTACTGCAGGGCTACAATATCGAGATCCGAAGCGACGCGCATCGCTCTCGCCTACTGAGGGATGCGCGATACTTCCATCTCAAAGGCCTAGAGCAAAAGCTCATACCCTGCGACATATCCTACAACCTAAAACGTCAAGAGTCTGAGATTCTAATCCGTCTTGAAGACATTCGACAATCGGGTATCTCCTTCACTCCTGACAAAGACCCCAGCGAGTCTGGTTCAGGAAGCGAGTCGGGTTCAGAAACCGTATCTGGTGCGCAGTCAGCAAGCGTCCCACCAAACCCTCTACTCGTCAACAGTGTTGCAAGCCCCGCCCCATCAACGGCAAGCAGCCGTGCGGTTTCGAAGGCGGGATATGTGTCGTACGCTCGGCCATATACGGACGACCATGCGCAAAGCAACATCCTCGTCGTTGAAGTTGCGTCAACCGAGGCAACAACGCTCTATCTTCCAAAGAACAATATCGACACTTTCGAGGCTGAATCTGGCGACTATGGAATTGAACTTCGTGCAACGTTCCATGATTCCACTCTCGCACGAATGGCCTCCCTCTTCTCCGTCATAGCTTCCAAGATGGGTTTACCCGCTACACAACCGTTAGGACAGATGTTCTTACAATCCGGTGCCGGAGTTGCCGCCCAGCCTGTCAGCCCGGCCAATTCAGGCGTCAGCGAACGTCGCGTGCGTGTACGGCTCGATCGAGATACCGCTCTGGAAGTCGACGGATCGCCAGCGGAGCTCGCAGTCGACGAATACCACCACGACGGCATTCGCAGCATAACGCACAATCGCAAATGGTTCTGGGCTGAGGATGGAGGCCCATCCTTCCCCAACGACAAAGACGAACAATGGACAGTCAGACGTGCGCACTGGCGCATCCGCGTCGAACCTGTCAAGGGCGACGCCGAGGGAAAGAGGATGCAAGTCATCTTGTGCGCAGTGAAGCTTGAAGCTTTCACAAATCAACGGCCACGCAATTCTTCGAGGAAGTTCCTGGGTGGTGGCTAGCATAGTGGGTCAAGCGGGCCAGTGTCGACGCAGGTTCGCGCGAATGTGCAGTCGACCTGCCAATATATCGATGTTTTCCAACCATTTCTTCCACATACGACCATAGAATCTTGAGACCACGGCTTCCCGTCCGCTCAGCCCTAGTTAAGCAAGATATCGGCTGGCTAGTAGCTTTATGGGTGACCGAAAGCGAATCCCAGCTGTTGTATGTTTTCGATTTATTTTTTTGCCCCACTCTCGTCAATTTGAACAATTTGAACTACCGAGTTTGTGCCGACATGATGGGAACAAGTCGTCAAGCTCCTCTACCTAATCTACTCAAGACGCATACGCTGGTTATTCGCAGCTTGGACGCTACGCCGAGAATATCATATATACTTCTGTAACCCATGTCGTTGTAACTGCGACTCGCAAAAAACTGATGTATACTTCTAGAACACTACTTTGTTGACCGCAACTCACAACAGTCCAGTCTATTCGTTTGTTCACACGGCAGTATGCGACAGTTCTTTTGCTTATCAAACACGGTGTGGCTGATCAGACCGTTTCGATTCTTACCTACGAAAGCGCACGCACAACACCACCACATCTCCACACGAGCCTCCCAGTGACGTACATCGACCTATTCATCGGCCGAGTAGCGTAAGCAGTCAGGTCTACGCTAAGTTAGTAATCGAGAACAAGCTCCCAAAATCCAGGCCGTGACTGCGCACAGTCATTGCGAAAGCGAAGCTCCAACACCGCCACAAGAATCAACGCATGCAACTGGCAGATATCGCTTGAAAAAGGGCTCGGCGGTGGCTTTAATAAGCGAGTCTACGATTTAGGGCGGAGTGGCGTAAGCTTAAGGTCACGGCCAAGACATACGGCTTGCTGACAGTGATTTTGGGCTTCGTGAAGACGAGCTTGGTCACGAGTACAGTGCCCATCTCGTTCTCGCACATTTTCACACGCACGAACAGACGTGGGGTATTGGCTCTTGAGCGGAAGGTGCCGACGACGTTGTTGGCATCTGCTCACTCAACAACACCCTTTCGTATTCGAGGTCACGTGTAACGTTTCTATTGGTTTGGAACTTGAGCTCGGTCTGCCATCCGCTTCAATATGGGTTGCGTGTTCTGGTGAGTTGCTTCATTGCATTGGGCACTGACGAAATAGTAGTCAGGAGCAAGCTCTTCACCGAGAAAACGTCATGATAACGCCATCTCTTGTCCCCAGACGCGTGTGCACTCGGACAGTGCGCAAGAGAAGAGTCATGTTTACGAGTTTTGG